TAGCAGTCGACGTCGTAGTAGTCATCGTCGTAATCGTAGCAGTAGTAGTAGTAGTAGTAGTAGTAGCAGCAGCAGCAGCAGCAGTAGTAGTAGTAGTAGCAGTAGCAGTAGCAGTAGCAGTAGGCAGTAGTAGCAGTAGTATGCTCCATACTGCTGCTCTGGCACTGCTGCTACGACGACGACGATGACTATGACTGCTAGTGCTATACTACGACTACGAAGTTGGCCACGACAGAGACTGCCGCAGCCACTACAGAAATATTTGTCGCCACCACCACCATCACCAACTCGAGCACCATTACGACTAGTGTTGGAATCGCCATCACTGTCAGTTTGGTTTGCCGTATCATGATTGTGACGGTTGTTGTTTCTATGCCCTCCAGTTACACAGCCATCGGGGTGATCTTCATTGTGATTATCAACCATCATCGTGCTTCCTGCTCAAACATCTAACGACCTAATCTGTGGGATCATCAGCACCACCATTCTTTCCATCCTCATCAGCATCAGCAGCAGCAACATCATCATTCTCTTCGCACAGCTTCGTCGCCAGCACACTTGCTGATCTCAGCGGCAGCTTCTTAAAGCTGACAGGTCTCAAGCGAGACGCAGCAAGCGACGCAGAGCCCGGCACAGGCGAACACATTTTTTTTGTTGTGTGTGTGTGTGTGTGTCTGTGTGTGTTTATTGCGTGTCCCCGGGTTGTTGAGTATAGCCAGACAGCTTGCAGTGGTACGATGTATATATTTGCCGCCTTTGCTCGGTAAAAAGTTCGTGTGGAATTATCGCTTGGCTTACAACAGCTTTGAGCATCTTTTGGCACAAGAAAATTGAAAGTTCAGTCTGGCGAACTCAACCCCGCAACACTCTTTGAGCCCAGGCACTCGCAGGTTTTGTAACTCCAAGCGAGTATTTTTCGGCTTGTGTTTGTGCCGGTGGGGTTAATCCAACATGACGTGCGGGAGCAGCGGGGCAATATTGGAGATGGCAGCGGCCCAGGATAGGAAGGTACTCATCCACTCGGCTGAAGAGGGCATGGTACCGTAATACTCGTGAGAAAGTGAAAGTACGGCGGTATGGCAGAGTACCACTTCGCGTGACTCACATGGGGGTTTCCGAAAATTAGGGGGTACCTTATTTTGGGGTCCTTATAATAGGGATCCTGCTCTTTGGGGTACTATATTAGGGTCCCCTATTTTTTGGGAACCCCCACATGGCTTCGCCAGGAGCCAGCTGCTTTCAGCTCTACTCCACCGATGAAGGCCGCCGGGGCTAAGGAGGACAGCCTGGCTCCGCTAAGCTACGAGGCAGAAGCGGACCAATGCAGAGACGCCCTAACCCTACTTGGAGGTTCATGGGTAGTTACAAGTAAGGTTATAAGTAGGGTAACTATAATTATAACCCATATTAGGGGACTTATAACTCCACTTATAACTAACCATGAACCTCCAAGTAACCCTAACCCCAACCCTAACCCTAACCCTAAAGTAGTCGGGATGCATGATGCTGCTCCAAGCAGGACAAGCAAAAAGGGGTTTCTAAATCTCAAAGAGAGCGGCCTCACTAGTTTTTGTATATCCATGCACTTGCCGGGAGAAGCACCAAAAAAGAGCCGGCGCATCGTGGTTTTACTTCGTTTTCTCCTTCATGCAGGATGCAACTCGATTAAACCCCAAACTCTTATAAACCCCAAACCCTAAACCCCAAACCCTACACCTAAACCCCAAACCCCAAACTAAACCCTAAACCCTAAACCCCAGACCAATGCGGACCCTCACAGCCCCGGGCTTTGCACGAAGCCGACATCGGCCGACCCCGCACACAGAAGAAACTTTCTCCTCGGACTTGGCTTGGTCAAAACATATACTTGGAGGTTCATGGGTAGTTATAAGGCTCCTTTAAGGGTTCTATAAGAGGGTTCTATAAGGGCTCTATAAGGGGTCCTATAAGGGGACTCTAAGGTGCCATATTTGGAGGTTCATGGGTCGTAATAAGTAGGGTTATAAGTAGGGTAACTATAATTTTAACCCTGTTAGGGGACTTATAACCCCACACTTATTACTACCCATGAACCTCCAAGCAACCTTTCAAGAAGCACTTAAGCATAGGCCCCTTAGTAGTTCCTTTTTGGGATTACCTTATAGGATTCTAAATATGAACCCCAAAAAGGAACTACTATGGGGCCTAGGGGTAAGCAATAGCATGACAAAACCATTTTAAGACACATTTAAGCAATAACCTCCAGTTTCGTCCGGCAGGCCCCTGACGACTCGGCAGAAGTTCCTGTGGCATCATCCCCGGCAGAGGCAGAGGAAGCATGGGTTTCAGATGGTTTCAGCATCTCTGATTGGAGATGGATGATTGCTGTAAGCATTGCTGAAAGTAGGTTCGACGGACTCTCAGCGTCGCAGGATGAAAGAGAAGAGCTAACCTGCGACGATCCGATGGATCTCCAACACACTTGGTTCCAATCTTCACCCTTTGTCGTAGGAGTGGACTGTACTTGGAGGTTCATGGGTAGTTAGAAGTGGGGTTATAAGTAGGGTAACTATAAGTATAACCCATATTAGGGGACTTAGAACCCCACTTATTATGACCCATGAACCTCCAAATAATGTTTATTCTGAATGTCTTGTCGGCTGTCATCGGCCAGTCTTGAGTTTCACCCCTTGCGAACTTCAGCAAATATTGGACCCCAGAGTAGAACCCTATGTGATAGGCTAGCTAAGCCTTGCTACAAGGACCATTAAGTATCGACCCCTTATGACACCTCCCTGCAAGTTAAACCCTAAACCCGAAACCCTCAACCCTGAAACCTATCTCTCTGAACTTTCACGGGTGAGGGCCTGTAGGGTCTGAAATTGTCACGAGGGTTTTTACGGTGTCCAGGATGTCCGTAGTCCATACCTTAGATGGGCTGTACTTGGAGGTTCATGGGTAGTTCTAAGTGGGGTTATAAAAGTCCTCTAAGATGGGTTAAAGAATTATAGTTACCCTACCTATAACTCTACCTATAACTACCCAAGAACCTCCAAGTAGGCCAAAGCCCTAAACCCTAAACCCTAAACTCTACACCCTCAACCCTAAAACCCTAAACCCTCAACCCTCAACCCTAAACCCTAAACCCTAAACCCTAAAACCCTAAAACCCGAAAACCCTCAACCCCAAACCCAAGTAAGGCCATCCCAAACCCCCAAAAGCCGTCGATGAAGCCCTGGAGAGGCCGCTGACTCGGCAGCTGTGAGAGCTGTCGCTGCGTGGCCCGAGCCAACTCAGGCTTCCGGCTCCTTTGTGCTTGGGGTTTAGGGTTTAGGGTTTAGGGTTTAGGGTTTAGGGTTTAGGGTTTGGGTTTAGGGTACTTGGAGGTTCATGGGTGGTTATAAGTGGGGTTATAAGTCCCATAATATGGGTTATACGTATAGTTACCCTACTTATAACTACCCATGAACCTCCAAGTAGGGGGTTTAGGAGTCTAGGGCTTGGGGTTTAGGGTTTAGGTTTAGGGTTTAAGGGTTTAGGGTAGGGTTTAGGAGTCTAGCGCTTAGGGTTTAGGGTTTAGGTTTAGGGTTTAGGGTGTAGGGTTATGAGAGTTACTAGGAGGCTTACTATAAGGGTCGTGGGTTCCAGAAGACCTGGGTGGGGCTTAGGTTTTCCGATACTACAGACTCCTGCATTATATGATTAATACCATGTCTTAGATGATGCACTATGGTTAGTATAGTATAACCCTCCAAACCCTAAACCCTAAACCTCAAAGCCTGATTCTAATGATTCTGGCCCCTGTGTCGTGTGGCTTTGGGCCTTGACCTTCGCTTGGCGCCCTTTGGCTTAGTGCGGGGCCGGGAAGTTCACGGAAGATCATCGGATCTTGATGCACTCACTTTCAATGTAGCCAGGCGCCTTAATAATTACCTATACTATTTTGGGGTTCCTCCTTACGATTATAGTACAATATGCCCCAAAACCCTACTATAAGTTTTAAGGCCCCTATAGTACACACCAGCATCGTGCGCACGGCGAGTATTGACAGCGTGGCTTCATTGGCTACGAGCAACATGTCTGTTGATACTCGCTTTACTTGACGGTGTGTTTGTATTGCTCCCAGCACAGCAGGCGGCATGACTGGGAAATATTCCACCAAAACTACAGAGCAGTCTCGTATCAGAAGCTGGTAGCACACACAGAGAGAAGTATATGTATATGTGTGTATGTATATATATATATATGTTTATACAGCATACATCTACATATCAATCCAGCTTCAATTTCTACTGTGAGTGCTCCGCCGACCCGGCAACCATACCGTGCAAACGAACCCTTCAACCCAACCACGAAAAACTTGCCTGCTCTCCCGCGTCCCAGCAGGCAATGTCAAGTGCCGATCCGTCATCTGCCACAATGGACTGGCCCTCACACATGCAGGCACAAGGAGAGCGAGAGCTGTTATTCTCAACTCATGGCATAGGCACATTCGTCCTACTCGTTGAAAACGATGACTACGAATGTCGAAGACTTGCTGGCACGTCTGGGTTGGCTTTGAGCTTAAAGACTTGGTTTAGCAAATCCGGATTCGCAGTCGACGCGCTCAGTTCATATATAGGCGGGGGCGGAATTCAAGATGCCCCCTTTTCCCTGTGAGTGTCTACAAAGTCCTGATTTTCTTGACCTTCCCACCTTACTCGGGATCCTTACAGACTCCACACAGGTTCTGCTCCGAGAAAGCCTGCCTGTTGCTTCTTAATTACAGCCCGGCCACATATATATGATATGATATGATATAATATCTTGTCTTATCATTGAATATAGTTCTTATCTTATCATATATTATATGTTTTATTATCTATTCTATATTCTATATTCTATGTTCTATATTCTATATTATATATTAGTTAATATATATATATATATATATATATTTCAATATATATGTATATATATATATATATTATATTATATATTCTATATTATGTATTCTGTATTCTATGTTCTATATCATATCTTATGTTTTGTTATATATTATGCATCATATTATATATATATATATACATATTATAATACATACTAAATATACTATATTCTATATTCTATATCACATACTATGTTCTATTATATTTTATACAATGTATATATATATATATATTATATTTTATATTTTATGTACTATATATTATATATCATATATCATATATTTTATATTTTATATAATCTATATGTTTATATAAATATTCTATATATTATATATTATACATTCTATATCATATGTTATATATTATATTATGCAGTATTCTATATATACATATTGTGTTGTGTCGTATCACATTGTATGAAGTAAGAGAAACTAGAAACTTATAGCATTTTATATATCCGAAATCCTGGGAGCCCCAAAACTCAACCTGGCTCAATGCAGAATCCCAGCCACCCAGAGCCCAAACAAGTCCCCAAAATCCTTATAAACCCTAAAACTCAGAACCCTAAACCCTAAAACCCTGAACCCTAAACCCTCTAGTGTTTTATAAAGCAGCATGCTTGTGTTTTCTAGTGTTTCAGTAAACAGTAAACAGTGTTTTGTAGTGTTTTATACGGCAGTGCATTGAAGTGTTCTACAAGTCAGTGTATTGTAGTGGTTGTAGTGTCAAAGCGGTGTTTCGTAGTGATTTATGAACCGGTGGTTGGTAGCTTTTCATGAAACACCACAAGACGTACAGCAGCTTGCTTTGCTAAAGCAGCACGCAGGCGCCAGAAGGCACTCGCAACTCTGATAACTATCCCCTGTGGTATCCCTACAGAAACCTAAACCCTAAACCCTAAACCCTAAGCCCGAAGCCCTAAGCCCTAAAACCCTAAACCCTAAATCCTAAACCCTAAACCCTACACCCTAAACCCTAAACCCTATACCCTAAACCCTAAACCCTAAACCCCTGGGTCAGGCGTCAGATGGGGCCTTTGGTTGGCCGGCAGCGCCTGTCGAGGCGACCTTCAAAGCTGGGTCTGGGGTTTAGGATTTAGAGTTTAGGGTTTAGGGTTTAGGGTGTTTTAGGGTTTAGGGTGTTTTAGGG